ACGCCAACACAGCCTCCACTTGTCTGAAAGGCGTAAATGTGCGAGAAATACGTTATTTTCATTACTGGTTGACAGGCTCAGAAAGTGTAGCCATCGGTTATTTTCCGCACAATGAGATGGCCGCAACCCCAGATTTGAAGACCACTTGTAAGCAGTGGCGCTAAGTATGCTAAGTATTCTCGCCGAAAAGGCAAGAGTCGAACAAGACTTGCACAGAGTTGAAATCCGTTGTGAGCGTCCAAGGAAGCAGAAAATTAACATGCGACTCAAACGTGAGACATCCTACTGGAGAAGAAGACTGATTTTCAGAGGGGTAGTAGAGTGGCAACTTCCTGTTACTCCGGACTCCGTATTTGGTTGCCGTAATAATCCCGTCGAAGGCCTCCTATAACCAAAAGAAGACACAGCAAGCTTTCATTTTAATTTGGTCGCGGTTTTGGGTCTTGTCAAATTATGGTCGGTCTGGTTAGGCGGGAGGAAAATGAAATGTGACTACGCTGGGGATTGTGCAGAAGTCTATTGGAAAAGAGCAGCACGCTACCGATGAGGTTTTGCATCAGAATGAAGTGGAAGTTAGTTTGTCTTTTGATGATAGGGGAACCGGCCATGTGGACAGTCCTGTATAAGAATCGGTGAATTGATACTAATGTCCGGGGGTGGAAAAACACTGGATGCTAAGGATGAATGAAAAAGGGTTTGTTAGAAGGAGCCAGTGCGGTGGAAAACTTCTCGAAGGTGTAGGGCAAATATCGCTCGGGCTCGAGGATCATGCATGGCTCAGCTTGTCTGAGGCAGTCGGATTTCAGTAGGTTGGAGAGAAACTAGTCTTGATAAGGGGCAAACAGTAGGTCACAGAGGTGGATGGGTATTGCCGGTGCAGTGAACGTTGTTTTTCTGCGTATTTACCCTGATTCGATGGGAGGTTGCAATAGTTAATAGCATAATTAAAGAATATAAGTAGAGCGAGTTTGGTGTTTCTCCAAGACCGAATGAAGCTGAGAAGAAGCTTGGGCAGTGCAACGATCCTAGAGAAAATTTTAGTCTCACTCTTTTGCCTGTGGTACTTGGTGGCCAGCACTGAATTTCCATCGAAAATTATGTATTGATCGTGGGCATGTTGGCACAGGCTCGGAGAGTATCTAGCACCTGACACACGGGTGTGCCTCAGGGGGAGTTAAAGTGAGCCGGGGTATTTAAGTCTTTGGTCGTTGATGGAGCAGAGCACACTGAAGTGGTCACAAGTAGCATAAGTTTTTGGAGTGACGAATTATTCTTGCTTTCAAGGGGTAAACCACTTGGTCCTACCTAGAAAGATTTCGCTCTAGGATCTTTTCACGAGAGACGTGAGCTTTATATAAAACATTTTCCTGGAAGTGCGGTATAGATAGCCTCGTCATCTCTGCCTCCGAGTAGCTAGCCCGTGGGGGGGGGAATCGCTCAGATCCAACACTACTACAGTACCACGAATTCGAAGCCATCCGTTATACTACACGCGGCACCCTACCGCTCGAGAACAGCACAAGCTAGCGTACCAGCCCATCCAGAATTTTTATGCGCAGGATTATCTTGTCGATTTTGTGCAGTATCTGCAAAGTATCCAGTCACCCAGAATTCACTTCTAAACCTTATTTGAACTCCGAACTGGCCAATTTACCTTCGAGACAGAGACACGGAGGTCTACCGGTGTCCTGAAGTGATGTTTTGTCCAAGTGTCCTAGAATACAAACCGGTCGCAGACGATCGCTTATACCACTAGCCCTCACCTAGCACATTTTCTGCTAAAATGAAACCCACGCGCTCCAAAACAGAATAGCTTCTGGCTACCGCATTCAGTCACATCAACCGCCTACTTGTCGGAGTAATCCTGGGGGCACCCTCACACCGTATTTTCATGGCCCACTCCTCACAGGCCAAAGGATGGAACGGGGATAATTGCATGATCCACACGAGATTCCCATGGTATAGGCGGACGCCATCGAACAGTCTAGCACCAAAACCCACTCTCCGTCCCTAGTGCCGCCAATCTTTTCCTACACCATTTTGTTAGTCTTCAAATTTTGATTTAAAATCATATAGCCATGTCTGTTCCCACGCTTAGTGCCGTATGATTCCCCTCCTATCATGCGTCTTTTACTGTAAACTCACGGAGTAGGCAATCCGTTGCAGCCAAAGAAATAGCAGTGATTTTCCAAGCACAAGGGATAAACTCACAGAGTTTCTATCAGCCTGTTTCCGTACCTAGTGCTCCCAAACGAAAATTTCGTTAGAGAGTTTCTTCCCGAAGCTGCATTCTGTTCAATCCAGACTTCCTACAGCGGGCGTGATATAGATATTTTCGCACCACTGGAATGGCTCTTACCCTAGTAGGTCTTGGCCGCTAATTTCCCCAGAGTCGACCCCGGGCAAGCTACACCTATTGTGTTGCCCGGATATGCTGTCATTCTCGCTTACTCGAATGCACTCAGCTTCCCCACCAAGCGCTTACGGACCCACCCAGCCTCACAGATGTGTAATCAACACCCTCCGACACTATTCTTTACCACAGACGGCCTCGTTTCCAGAGGATTTTGGACTTTGTAACTACCATCGTCCGGAATCTTTTCAACCAACCACTCATTTTCTCCTTCACGTATTACAATCTTACGGGCACCAATTAAATGGGTGAACGTCGTACCTATTCTACAAGTGTAAACCATCCATTTTTCTACTGGGTGAAACTGCCAAATTTTTGGGCGCGCGCTTTTGCTTCCAAAATCATGCAAAATATTTAACAGTGCCCAGCTGAATGGACATGACTGCTGCAGGCTTTCGGGCTATTTTCTAGGTGAATACCTGCCCTCCTTGAAAATAGAACATTACTTGTTCAGGTGCTGAAAGTTTAGTCCCCGCGTGAGGTAACGGGTAGGGTTTCACAAGATGCCGCGCTCAATCCAGGCGTTTTGGGGCCAAAATTAAGCTACCTCGTTGGCGACCTCACACAGTGCACGCTGCTTGCTCTGTACAGACGACCTTGAGGTGTGGTACCATGAATCTAGGTCCATCCGTGGAGCGAGTGGTTGTTGGTCCTACTGAGAGCTTCTTGTGCATTTTCGCTAATACCTGAGAGAACTTCAACGTACCACGTGCAATTACAATATCATCAATTCAGTGGCCTGGCATCATGGCACTAGCCGAGAGCGTTGATTCTATATGTGGATCGTTTTACTCTTGATGTGAACTTAATTGGTCAGGCAGGCCACTTGTCTTTTATTTATTTCCGCCAGCCATTTACCTAACTTTAAAAGATCAATTTACCCAACCGGAATTTATCATCTAATTCCCCTCATGCTAGACACTGTGGGACTCTGGCTTTCCCGGGGTGGAAAATGCTACCACTACTGGAGGGGGTTCAGCCTGGGGTTGGTGTTTGAGATCTTGTAAAAGTGCATTTTGGCAACAGAGCTCTAGTAGCCGGCAGGCTTTTGCCTCCAGAATTTCTTTACAGATACTTCAGGTTGCATGGCTCCGTTCCAAGGAGGATATTTTTTGCAGAAAACCTCCGTTTGTCACTTTGGAGCAATTTCCTCCATAAAACTTTATCCTCATTATCGCGTCATTTTCCGCTAGCACCAGATACCCATCACCAAGAACTTACCAACCTTTATTGTGTACGTTATTTTATTTGGGATTTAAAGGCTCATCCATGCTTAATGGCGCTGCGATTGAACCTGCTATTATAAACGTACAGGAGTGTGTCGCGAACAAACTGGTTCGCGGTAAAATTCATTCATTGATCAGTGATCTAACCAGTCTAATCTCCTTACTGGAGCGGCAGCAATATTATAAAAGCTATCCCTTGTTCACACATTCACTAACAGTGATTAAGGGAATGAAATTTTATTGTTTCTTCTATCTTTGTGACGGAATTTGACTCTGCCCTCGATTACGCCAGTAATTTGTTCACGAAAACCGTCACTGTACAGCTGTTGTGAACTGTACAAGATAGTCCCGCATCAAGCGGGTGCTTTGCGTACTATGCACAGCTTATACACAACTGATGACGGCCGCCTCAAGATTTTCAACGACCACCTAAATATCAATATATGAGGTGTGCAACTGGCCTGAACATTGAATATGGGAAGCCATATCTAGCTCCAAATCGAACAAAATCACTGTGTGCAACCCGGAAAGCAAACCGGATTGTTGCTTGTAAGACTCAGTTTTACAACCCAGGAGGCATTGAGAACTGCTGTCAGCATCTAGTATGCTAGTGAGAAGCCTGGCGAATTCGCGTTGTGTTAGTGACTTTTCTTAAGGGAGAACATCCTCAAAATCAAAGGGATTTTCTCGCCCGTAGAAAATATTTTTTCACTTGAGGAAAAACGATTGCTTGCAATTAAAGATAAACGCTGACGAGGTGAGTTGCTCTTTCAAGAAAAAGCTTCGTATTTTTTGAGTGTAGCTTTTTAATAAATGTTTTTTGAACTAATGTTTCAGTAACCTTAAGTTATCAAATGTCTTAAGTTAATAACGTAAAAATAACCGAATTTGCGTTTTTGCAGTAAAATAATTGGATTTTAACCTAAAATTTGATCCAGCTGTCAAACAAAGGCCATAAATGTACTTTCCGTAAATATAGATACCGCAAATCCTAGTGAAGTAGACTTGTCCAGAAACAGGCCACTCCAGTAGCGAGTCCGAAAACACTATGTGCCACGACCAAGTGAACGATTCCTTCAAAGACAAGCCAGAAATTAGATGAGATTAATATTCCATTGTCACACGGTAGCCTACAACAGGAACTCTGAGAGAGAGCACCAAATGCCCAACAATAACGAGTACATCACGAGGGAAATCAAGCCACATTGGCCGGACACAACACTCACTACTAGCTCCCAAATTCTTTGTTTCTGCTTACAAAACCTTATAAATCCGAAGTTTAATAAATTACTCTTGTCCCGAATGGTATGGTTAAGCTCTGGAAAACAGGAGAAAGATCGATGTTCACTTTGTATCAGTACAGTTTTTGTAGTATTCGTGAAATAATAGGCATACACAAAAATAAATCGTACATTCGAGCAAAACGTAAGATTTAATGGACCACATGCGTAATGTTTTGAAAGTATAGGTGGAGTGCTGAGAAATATGGATGTCTCAAAGCACTTTATAACTTATACTTTGAAGAGCGCTGGGTCTAGCCTTTCCTGATGTTTCGTTTCCTCACCTCATTAAAGCGTTTGAGAAGCAACAGTTTTAGCGCTGATATCTCAGCGTCCAGTTTGGCCAAATATTCAGTAAGGCGCTTCTGAAAACAGGGACACAAAAATTAGTCGGATTTCGGGGTTCCTCTAGTTTACTTTTTTTAAGTTCGTCTTGGGACACGTCATCACACCAAATTTCGTGTACACTACTATCATCTGCTGCTAAAAGTGTTCACGGTAACTTTGTTTGAGAACCTATAATCTGAATCTCTTAAAGCCGGGTAATATTCGCCGAAATCGGCAATCAAATAGACCCAAGAGTCAAGTTTTATGACATGGTTTATGAAGATCTTAAAGCAGTGACTGAAAGCCGATAATAGTGCCTACCTAATGAGACTCAAGCAGGGCGAAACAGGTCATCGGCTGTCTGTGGATTTTGAATACTTGTCTCATACTACTTACATCAAACAGAGAAAAAGCCAGTCTGTTAAATTCACACCCAAACT